ACTGGAGTGGAAGGGTCTATAGGGACAGATGAAGGTAAATCCTCCGAGGCAGCAGCAGCAGTGCGTTGGGCAGGCATTGGTTTAAACGGAGTCCCAGAACGGTGAGAGTGGCTGCGGAAAAAATTCCCGGTGGAAGGACCATTGCGAGAGGCACGGGCTGGATTGCGGAAGCAATCTTGTTGAAGATGACCAGGGCCAGTCTTGTTGCAAAACCGACAAAGACGAACTGGACAATTAACCAGAAGATGAGTCGACGGAAGATTGCGGTTATGACAGTAATTGCAGGCATTGGACCTCTGTGGTGATGGTGAGGAAGGAGAACTTCGAATCTAGGGAGTGGCAAGAACAGAGTCCACAGGGTGTGGATGGAGAGTACCAAATCTGGTTTCCTCGGACAAGAGTTCAGAAATTGCTTGCTCAAGAGTGGGTAAAGGAGTGCGATGAAGGAGAGATGCGCGGACTGGCTCAAATCGGGGAGTGAGAGCCATGAGAAACTGAACTAAGCGCTGTTGGTCACGGTAGGCAGTAAACAAGGTAGCATCCTTAGTACAATCCCACGGAGGTTCAGAAAGAGCGAGCTGATCCCAAGCATAATACATTTGAGAGAGAAAATCATTAATGGTTTGGGTTGATTCTTGACGCATACCGTGAAGATGACTCAGAAGCTGATATTGGTGAGCAAGGCTAGTATTCCGATAGCGTTCTTGTAAAAAGTCCCAGATGGCTTTGGCAGAAGAGGAAGCAGAGTCAAGTTGGAACCGACCAAACTGAAGGCTGATAGATGTAATAGAAGTATTGCGAAACCAAGTGATGATCTGATAGTTTTTACTATCCCAATCTTCCAGTCGATCGACATATTTGGCAGCGGAGTCCGTTGTAGCGGAATCTGTGGTCCCTTGAACAGGTTTGCACACATCCCCAGTGATGATGCGCCAAAGTTTCTTTCCTTTGAGGAAGCCAGACATAGCTTGTGCCCATAAGACATAATTAGTCCCGTCAAGAATAACAGAAATATGTTGGGTAGAGGAGTCCAAGCGATCCATGAGCGAAAAATAGCACAGATGAGGGAGAATCGGAAAAAACCGAGAGTACCAGTGAATTCAGATGGTCAAAATTAGTCAGAAAAGTAGTGAACGGACCAAAAATATGACCAGAAAGGCTGAAAATGGAGTGGTCAAAGCTGCTGGTCAAACAGGATGGCGCGGCGCACGTTAGCAGAGAATGGCGCGGCGCACGTTAGCAGGCGAAGACACACGGCGCACGGAAGCAGTCAGGGCTGACGTCAGCTGACATCAGAAACACGCGGCTCACGTTAGCAGATGAGGTCGCGGCGCACAATAGCACAGGACAGTGTAGGAAGCGCGTGGAGCGCGTCTGGAACGATCAGGCGCGTGGCCGAATGTTCTGGTGGCGCGTGGGGGCGCGTGTGACGTCAGATGAGGATGAATCTGGTGGCGTTGGCTTCGTCGTGGAGAGACGAAGGTGTTGGTACTGTCCAATCTGTGTATGAGGTAGGGGAGATGTACGCAGCAATCTGCCAAGAAAGATGTGATGCAGAGACTTAGGAAAAATACCTGTGCTCTGATACCATGAAAGACAAATATTGAAAGACAAAATATTGAGAGAGTAATATTGAAAGAGAATTGTAATGTAAACTCTATATTGAATTCTTGCTGCGAGGCTCCTTAATATAGGAGTTTGTTACACAAACATGATGATGATACCATAGAATATAATAAGGAAAAAAGTAGCCGAAAGATGGCGCACCACCGAAAGGGAATCCTCTGCTGTCACTATAATATATTAATAACTTATATTGTATTCATATACAATTATATACAATTATATTTATATATTGACAATGAAGTTTCCAAATGCACCCGATAATTAAAATAGAGCTGTTTGTTTGTTTGTTTTTTTTTTTTTCTTGAACATGTAAAAAAAGAGCTCTGTGGTGTCATCATGGCTCCGTTGGGCCCCAACCCCGGGATAGCCGGTTGCCAGCTAGAAATTAACCCCCACCAAGTGAGGGACCCACAACCAGAGCACCAATGGAGGGCAACCACACGCTGCAGCAGAGAACAGGGTTCGAGGGGAGTATGAGCGTGTTCTCAAGAGAGATTTCAAACGTCCCTCCCAAGAATCGACCCTGGCTCTCGGCTAAGGAATGTGCCGCAGCCTCCACCAGGCCACCAACCCTGGTGGTTAAAATAGGGCTGTTTGTGAATTTGAAAATTGATTTGTTTTAGTGATTTTTTTTTTTGGGTTAAAATATGAAGTGAGAAAAATTAATCAACATGTTTGGTTTCTATTTTTAGGATTCATTTTTAGAAAATTAAAATTTTTTGTTTTTCATATTTTTTTGTTTTCACTAATTTTTTTTAATATTCTAAGTAATTTTTTTTTAATTTTTAGATGCACCTAACATAAATACACTTAAAAAGTATAATATTTGTGAAAAAAATCTTTAGAAAATTCACTAAATACCAAAAATATAAATAAAAAAATACGAGAATTCAATACATTTTTCCTATTGTTGTGTATTTATTGATTTTTGCAAATATTTTTTTACAAATATTCTACTTTTTGGATATATCTAAATAAGGTACATCTAAAAAAATATAAAAAATTGCTTAAAATTTAAAAAATATTCACTAAAAAAAACACGAAAAACAAAAATACTCATTTTTTAGAAAATTGAATCCAGGAAATTAAAATCGAACACACTTAATATATTTGGAAACGACTTTTAGACTTTTTAAGGAAAAAATGTGCAAAAAAAATAGAATAAATGAGAATGAATATTTGATTTTTTTTGTGTAAACTTTTTTTTTAAATAATTTTTTAACTTTTTGACTAAAATATTGAATTGCCAAACAACCCCTATGAATAAGCACTAGCACTTCTTGAGTGGTGAGAGCATTGCAATTCACAAATTTTCTAGTCCTACCTATTGCAAACCACTATTAGGATGTGAATAATGTTTGAGGGCCCGAAATTAATGGCTCAAATTTGGCTCAAAACCCAAAACGACGTCGTTTTGGGTTTTGATTTTTTTTTTTTTTTTTCTTCTTCTTCCTTCCTCTTCTTTCTTTTCTTCTTCTTCTTCTTCGTTTTGAACCTGAGAAGCAGAGGCGAGAGAGAGGGAGGAGAGAAAGAGAGGGAGAGGGAGAGGCCGTCGCCGTCGCCGTCGTCGTCGCCGATAGCCGATCGCCGCGCCTCCGCCTTCGCCGCCTCGCTGCTCTGCTCTGATCGTCGCCGGCTCTGCCCCGATCGTCGCCTCCGCCCCTCGTCGGCTCTGCCCCGCTCGTCGCCTCCGCCTCCGCCGCCTCCTCCTCCATTTTTTAGGCCCCCTCCATTCCTTCCTCCCCCTCCCCCTCCCCCTCCTTCGTCTTCCTCCTTTCTCCGGCTGAAAAGAAAAAAAAAAAAAAATAGGAAATTTTTTTTTGAGCCATTCGAGCCGTTGCCCATTCGGGCTCTGTACCACTACTCATTAGGATGTTGTCTTCCCAATTTGTTGAAATATATGATGAACATTATAAGATTTTGAATGATATGGTGGGTGTTTAGGAAGTTATTATTTTAGTAGGTTATTTTAGTTTTTGGCTATTTTAGTAAGTTAAAATTTTTGTGTTTAGAAAAATAGTTGAATTTTTTTGTAGTTGACTGTGAAATTTGTAAGAGAAAAAGTGAAATGATTATGAGTTTGATGTGACATTTTGTTTTATTGACTATTTTAGCCTATTTTATCTTTATGTGAATTTTAGCCCAAAAAGCCCCACATAAACCCTTCCCAAACACCCCCTGGTGAGTTCACTATTTGGATTAAAATTAGAGACACATATAACTTAGTTGCATAAAATGGTACACAGCACTCACTTTAGGTGAATTCCACACTTCTATGAAGGTTCTATGTCATTTTATGTGACTTATTTCTGTATATTCCTAGCATGGTTGTATTATTTATTTCTACCATCACTTTGATTCCTTTTATTTTCCTATTGAGATCAGATCGTACGCACATTAGAAGGAAATTCGTCGCTGGATGACTTAAACAATGCTACTGCAAAACCGAGCAACCAAAACTCCGCCTACAACTCATCTAATGAGATCTTCAACCCCGGATTAGCCACCAAAGGATACGACACAGCTGCATACAACGCCGACATGGTGAAATTCAAACAAATGGTGATGTCGAAGCAAGAGTATGCAAACAGCAGTGATTTCGGAGTAACGAGCGAGTATGGGCTCAACCCATCCTCTTCAAGCGACAACTCACGAGAGTTCGGCCTTTCGGGGAATCAGAGACACAAACTATAAACCAGCAACCTGGCTGGAAAAATATGATCAAAAAAAAAAAACCTAGCTGGAAAAACACACAAACATTAACATTTGTAATGTTTATTCTTAACTAGGTTTGTTTAGAATATTCAATAAGTCTACTGACATGAAAATAATTTGGTCATATATGTCAAATTGATATTGGGACACAACATAAAAAGAAAGAAATAGTTTCGTCTAAATTATTTGACCTATGTTTCATATGATTAAGTCTGTTGTAGATTTATTATAGAATATTTTGGTTGGATGGATATCTACGTGGTGCAAATCAATATAGACCCGGGTTGCTTAATTAAATATATCTCCTCTTTTTTAGATGGGGAATTGATGCTGTGTTTGGTTGGGGGATTTGGGGAGGGATTTGGAAAGGGAAAGGAAAAAGGTGTGTAAAACTATGTGAAATATAAACATGATTTATTCACATTTCACCTACCTTTTCCATTTTCCTTTCCAAAACCCTTCCCAAATCTCCCAACCAAACACAGTATAAATGTCTCCTTTTATTTTTTTATTTTATTTATTTTTTTGCTAAGCTTTTGGAAAGAATGTTGTTGTATTTAAGTTCAACCACTCTAAAATCAAGTTCAAAATTGTTGTATTCAAATTCATATTTTTCCCATTAAAAATAGACTCAAATTGAAGGTTCAAATTTAATTAATCTCACTCACTGTTCAATACAATTTATATGACAATGGCCTGTTTCAATTTGAGGAATAGTTTTGGTTTTGGTATCCAATTCTCTTTAAATATGCATCGAACGGAATCACTAACGCTCCTAATTAATAGAGGTTAAAAAATATTTAAAAAATAATAATATATGTATTAATTAATATACTTTTTAATATATTAACAGATATATTTTAAATATTTATAATTTGTATAATAAGTAAGGTCAATAACAATAACATAATATTAATTGATATACTAGTGTGTATATTAATTATTGTTTGTAGCACCACCGATATTTAAAATCTCTTACTAAACTTTAAGGCCTAGTTTGGGAAGACTAAATAAGTGCACTTTTTGACTTTTTATGAAATATGAGTTGGGTTTGGGTTGGGTTTGAAGTGATGTGTTAGAGAGGTAATGTGACTTAAATAAGATGATGTGACTTAAATAGGATAGTGACTTTTTGACTTTTTGTCTTTTTTGCCTCATGCCAAACTTGGCCTAAAGTAAAGCCTAACTTACTTCCTTTTTAAGACAATTGGGATCTTATTAAGGCCAAGTTTGGGAAGATCCAAAAAAGCCAAAAAGCCAAAAAGTTACTCAAAAAGCTAAAAAGTTAACACTATTCACCAAAAGTATATATTAACAGATATATTTTAAATATTTATAATTTGTATAATAAGTAAGGTCAATAACAATAACATAATATTAATTGATATACTAGTGTGTATATTAATTATTGCTTGTAGCACCACCGATATTTAAAATCTCTTACTAAACTTTAAAGTAAAGCCTAACTTACTTCCCTTTTAAGACAATTGGGATCTTATTAAATATGGCTGTCCACATAGCATTTTTTTTTTTTTTTGTCCAAAATTAGATAGGAATTAGTTTTAAAAGTACATTTAGAAAAACAACCGATGTTAGTGGTCAAAGTGGAAAAAAGAAATACTTTAATGATCAAAGTAAAAAATTCATGAAAGTTAAGGGGGTAAATTATAATTTATTCAAGTATTTTAATATAGGGTAAATTACATTCACCTCCCTTATAATTTAGAGAAAATATAGTTAATCCTACACTTTTGACATGATTACTGATTAAATTGATTGAAATTAATGTTAATGATAGATAGACAATGAAATAAATAACGATAAATATATATTTAATAGAAAAGAGATGATAATCTCACATTTTTATTCATACAACTTACAAAATACTAATAAAAAATGACATCAATTTTTAATAAATAAGTCACTATAAATTATCAAATCATTCTTTTTTTTTTTACACATATTTTCATAAAAAAATATTAAAAAAAGTCAATTCTTAAATGAGTCTGAGAGCTATATACACTTCTTTTTTCAATATTTTTGTTTTTAGTAACTTTTTTTTTTTCTAAAATTATGCCAAAATATTTTTACTTTTCCAAACCGTCTTGTGTATAAATGAATTTAAAATGTAAAAAAAAATTTGAAAAATCCTAAAAAAGAATTTTAAAAAACCAAAATAAGCCAAAAAAATCTTTTCTACACTTTTTTTTTTCGAAATTTTGATTTTGATTTTTTTTTTAATTTGTCTCATCAAGCTGAATGTTAAAAAAAAATAATAATATTTTTTCTAAAAAAAATAAAAATAAAAAACCAAATTAGCAAAAACCAACAAAATGAGCCGAACCGTTGGTGTTTGTTATGAAAATACAAACCTCAGGGGGCGGGATGTAATTTCCGAAACCTCAGGGGTATCTGTAATTTAACCAAACCTGGAGGGGTGTATATGTAATTTGCCCAAAAGAATTTAAAAAAACCAAAATAAGCCAAAAAAATCTTTTCTACACTTTTTTTTTTCGAAATTTTGATTTTGATTTTTTTTTAATTTGTCTCATCAAGCTGAATGTTAAAAAAAAATAATAAAATTTTTTCTAAAAAAAATAAAAATAAAAAACCAAATTAGCAAAAACCAACAAAATGAGCCGAACCGTTGGTGTCTGTACAAACTCGGAGACCGAGTTACAACCGAGTCAATCATGCTCTAGTCTTGCCTCTATTGCTCCGTCTATAAAAGGACCGAGCATAAACCCTTTCACATTTTTTTCGCTGCCGCCGGTCTCTTCTCTCATCAAGATCTCCCAACGACGGTCCGATTCATGCGATCTCCGCCGTCTGATCGCCATATCTAGGTCTCGATTGCCTTGCCTGAGAAAAACCCTAGGCTGTTGCTGTTCCTCACTCTGCGAAGATGGGAGACTTCAACGATGCCTTCATGCGCAACAGCGCCAGCAACAACGCCGCCGCCGTGCAGGCCCGCACCAAGGCGCAAAACCGCGCGAATGTCATGCAACTGAAGCTGGTAATTTTCCTAATCCAAATTCTTGTTTTTTCTGCGATTCTAGGGTTTCGATTTGAGTTGTGTGTGATCTGTGTGTTGATCGTACCGATTTGTTTGAGTTGATTTTGGATTTGGTTCAGGTGGTTAAGGATTGAAAATTTGATGGTTGATAATAAGCATTTCAGCGATTTCTTTGGTGTGTTTTGTGATGTTGTTGACTGTAGTTTCTCTGCTACTCTGCCGATTAAAAGATATAGTAATGTTTAATCTGTTTTTGTTTTTTTAGCTTCCACGCTGAGCGTGAAACTGCTTTTTGCTTGATTAGGGCATCTCCAGTCCTGGACTCTAACCTATATCAAACTTATATTTGGATAAAAATCACTCAAATATAAAAAAAGTAAGTTACAGGAACGACTGGATTACGCCAATATTTATTTATTTATTCTTAATTTATAGCTAAATCTTTAACATGCAAATCAAAGTCCAATACCATAAACATACTACTACTACTAAGGTAAAAAAACAAAAAACAAAAAATAAATCATTGGTCAACGATACAAATATTAAAGTTAGAGTCCACGAGCTATTTTAATAAAGCTAAACAAAAATAAAAGATAATAAACCATTTCCTAGGTAGGAAACTTAAAACATCAACTTTCACTAACACAATAACACATCTTCCATTAGCACAATAATTTGTCTTAGATTTTAAGATTTTTATTTTTATTTTATATAATTCTAATTGTCTACTACCACAATAAAGCAAAAAATGTTAAAACAAAAAAACATATCACAAAAGAAGAATCATCGAAGGAGAAACGAAGAAAAAAGAGAATCAAAGAAAGGAGATCAAATACAATAAGAGGAACAACAATCTGAAGGAAAAAAAAATTCGAAGAAGAAGAGGAAGAATCGAAGGAGAAGATGAGAATAATTGAAAGAGAAGAGGAAGAAGCGAAGAAGATGAACTCACCGGAACATTCGAGTTGCCGACATGCGCCGTTGTCGTCGATTGAGAGTTGAGTTGCCAACGCCTTTCTTCCAATGAGAGTCAAGATCAAGAACCGCCATGATCATACGACGAAGAAAAGGAACAAATAAAAAGATATTTGTAAACCTAATTTGTTTGTCTTCTTTATTATTACAAAACACCCTAAAATTGTTAAGTTTTTCAAAATGTACAAAAAATAATTGCTTCGGTGCCCTTGAAATTTTTTAAAAATTTTGCTTTGCCCCGCTATACCCAACCCCGTACCCATGGAGTACCCACCGCGTACCCATGGCATACCCAACTTCTCTAGACTGTATAAAATGTAACCAGTACGTATTTGGCATACCTGGTACGCATGCAACCGTACCAATATGCGTACCGGTACCCGGTAAGTATCCGGTACTTGTACGGCAATATTTTTGGAGTACCCATGCTTCATAGGTTTTATCCAATTTTATCCGAATCAAGAGAGAGTCAAATGTTTACTCAAAGTTTTCAAGACCAATTTATAGCTTAAAAACATAAAATAAAATAAAATAAAAAAATACAATTCTGCAAGCTTTTACTCAAATTTATGCTTTAATTTGAGTTTGTCAATTGGATCATGTCATATCAAATGAATCTTTCGATTGAAAATTTGAGTAAATGATGGAGATGACCATTAAAGCTTTATGTCTGTTCTTCTATCTTTCTCTACTTGGAAATTGCCTGTAAAGTCATGTCGTGTGATTGATTATAGAACTAGAGTAGTTATTTAGACTATATTATGTTCAATCATTATTTGTTTATTTATTTGGTCAACTTATTGCTGTATTAAATTAAAGTTATTTCTTTTGGATGCAGATTGGGCAAAGTCATCCCACTGGTTTAACAAACAATCTTTTGAAGCTTTTTGAGCCCCGACCTCCTCTGGAATTTAAACCACCTCCTGAAAAGAGAAAATGCCCACAGTATACAGGTCTTTGGGAACCTTCAGGATTGAATATTATCCACTTGACATTATTTATTCATTCTGGCTGTTACACTGTGTTAATTCCCATTTTTCATGTCAAAGGAATGGCGCATTTTGTGACTAATTTTGCTGAGAAAGGTGATCCTGAATATGAACCACCTGTCCAGAAGGGTGAAACTCCTGTAAGATGCCCTTCACTGCATGAATTCTACTTCTTTTAAGTGCTTTATATAAGTATTAATTAGGTTGTGTTTTGATTGAATATACACTTGACTCATGGTTGGTTTAACATCTATTAATGCTAGTAGAGGGAATTTTCTCTTTTGCTATTTTTAAAAATGGTATATTTTTCATCTAAGAAGCACGGATACGGACATGCGACACGACGCGAATACGATACGGACACGTCGACACATTAATTTTCAAAAAAATACAAGACACGACACGTGCTGGACACATGAAGTATATAATTTTATATATTTATTATATGTTATATACATGAATATATCATTCAAAGATAATAAAAAATGCAATATGACACTAATTCCTATAAATTTATATGGTTTTTGTTTTAGTATTGTATCTTAAGTTGTTTTGTTCAAACTTATAATTAGTTTCACCCGTGTTTAATCAATAGACACGTGTGTTTAAGCGACAGACACGTGTGTCCTCCAAGTGTCCAAAGAGTGTCCAGGTTTTTTAAAAAAAATTAAAAATAGGACACTTTTTGAAGAGTGTCGGACACGTGTTGGGGAAATGTCCAAAGAGTATCGGTGTTTGACACGGAC